CAACAACAACAACAACAACAACAACAACAACAACAACAACAACAACAGCAACAACAACAACAACAACAACAGGACAAGGAACAGGAACAGGAACAGTTACAGTAACAGTAACAGTAACAGTTCAACCGTTGTTAAGCAATTGTTGTTTCCAACATCGACATGTCCGACACAAACGCTGCGATCGACCCGTCTGATCGAACGTCGTCGTAACCTCCGTCCCTTTCGAAGCTTCATGGCCTGCGAAGCTTTCGCTGTCATCCCAGGAGCCAACAAACAAATGTCCAGGTCACCTCAGCTTGAAAGCTGTCACGACCTAGCAGCACATGGAAAAAAGTTGATTAATTGATGATTCAATGAATCATGATGTCAACACCTGCCTGTAGAATTGTCATGTGGATAGAAGGTGCTCTCCTCCAGTTTCCTATCATGTGAAAATCTGAAAGAAATACTGTCACACACCGTGAGTCACGGACGCCTTCTGCTGATATTATATGTGTGTAGCATGCAGCCCTACGGATCTCACTTGTGTAATTCAATTCAAACTACTTTCCACTAATTAAACCCATGCCAAAACACCTTCTCAGGAAGTACGTATAGATTTTTTGGCGAGGCACTTTTGTGCAGGAGTCTCTATCTAAGATTAAGGCTGCTACTTTAATCTATGGTTGAATGTGAAGCCAAACGACTCTTCTTCCTCAAGGTATAAGACTACACACAATTGGGCCAATGTTTCCACGCAGTCGTTCGCGTTGCGGCCTTGGTGGTCAGCCCACCTGAAAGTCAGCTTGGCGTACTGTGAAATAGGATCAATCCTTCCAAGCAAAGGTAGACCATAAGGTCTGTCAGAAACCACCAACTAAACATGTGTGTGTAATTTAATAGGGATACCCTCACTCAACCATTGGGTTTGGTCTATTTTCCCTCTTCCAGGAGGTCTTTGGGAGGTCTCCTATATTCATTATTGTTCATACACCCATACATGCTACGACGCATGCCCCCCCAAATCCTAAGGGAATTCTCTTTCACAAAGTCCATGTCCAAAAATTGACCGTAGGGCACTGGCTGCGGGACAAAGTGGTGAGTGAAGTGCTCATAATGCCTGAAGATGTTGAATTCTCACTGAGAGCTCACCCGATCGAAATGGATGCTCTCCAAGCTGGGCGTGAACAAAACTGAGAGCCTGAAACCTTCGAATTCGCTCTTTTGAACAGGTTTCTCAAACACATCATGTAGCTCGATCCAAACTCTGACCTGGGCTGCTGGATCCACCGGATATGATCTCCATCTGATCAGTCAGCCTGAGGAAGCCGACTGCCTGGCATCCATTGCTTCGTTGCGGCAGAGCCAAAGAGCTCGGCCTGGCAGCCATCCAAGGACTCCTGGCCGTGCGCAAACGGTTGGGAGTCCAGTGTCCAGGCAAGCTCTTTTCTTAAAGCCCGGGGGGGGGGTTATAGGCCAAAAAAGGAAGAGGTAGCGAATCTATCTGAGTCTCTAAAGGCCAATGAAACCAGTCTCTGTTGTTACACGTACATCCTGGTCCAAATCCACCGCGCCACACGGCGGTATGTGCCTCACGCCCCAGGTCGGCCCCGGGTCGCCGCTCCTGACCCGCTTGCTGCACCTGGCGCAAGAGAGCGTCCTGAGAGGCGACGAGGCGACCGACTGGGCGTGATCGACCGGGCCCGTGAGTGGACTCACATGGTCGACTCTCTCATTAGTCAACTCACCATCGAAACTCGAAACTCGATGACTCGCACGACATTTCGGACATTGATCTCAGGTTTTTTGGTGCAAACTCACAGAAGACGCACATGGTGTGTCTGAACGCCACTGGAACACCATCAGAACGCGAGTGCTCGTCTTGTGGAGAGGGTGTGTATGCGGGCGGAAGAGGGTGTATGATGGTGACAAGTTCTCCACCACGGTGCCAAAGGAATTTTCCCATATAGGGTTCACATATTCTGTATATATACATGTTCACTATGGTGAATCACAGTCACAGTTTGTAGAGGATCTTGCGCGTAGCCCAAGCCAATCTGCAACCAAACACCGAAAATATTGTTATCAATGATTATCACAACATGATCCATCTCCAAGCTTTTCCGGAAACACAACTATACTATTATGTGAACAAAAGGTGGGTTTCGTTATGCGTTCAAGGTCTAAACATGTCTAAGACCATTCCTGAGATTATTCCTGTCACTGTCACCGAGCGACAAATAATATGCAACAAACATATGATTGATTGGTGGAGATTGGTATCAACACCAGTGTAACAATTAACATGAAGTTCCTGGGCGGAACTTCATTAACCACACCTTTGCCAATGTCTTCCGAGTTCAAGACTTCTCAAACCATTCTGCCGATTGTTCCCGTCTCTTCACGTGTAGTTGGCCTTTGCCGCTTCTTGCTCTGCAGTTGGCCTGATAAAAAACACCGGCCGACGGCAGAGCTCGCACAGGGTGGCCACACGCTCTTCTGTCTTCCATGATAAACCACTACTTTGTCCCACCTGAGACATTTGGAAGACTGTGGAAGTAACAGCCTGTTATGGGATCGTGTTGCCGGTGGGATGCCGCCCAGCCCAGCGCCGTAAGAGATGGTGCCGATCTGCTTGCGATCCACCAGCAAGCTCACCCAAAGAATCACCCTTGCAAAAGCACACCACGCAGACTTCGACCCATCCTCCAGTTGTCACATGACTGATGAATCCTCACGTGACAAAACTTGCTCAAAATGTGTCAATTGTTAATGATCTTTACCACCTCTACGTGTGATACTGGTATTATACACTCCGTGGCCTTTTTTAACTGCATCTGCTAAGAACTTGCTCATCCTCCCATCCTCCCATCCGATCCCTTCCTTGCCATCCTCGGCTTCCCCACTGGGTCCGCTGCACGAGGCCATGGAGCTCGGTGGAGAGCGCCTCGCGACCAACGCGCTCAACGCGAACGCGGCGCGTTGCGCGAGACCGACCAACCGGCTCGATGGTCGGTTCGATGGTCGGCCAAACAGTTGTGGAATCTCCACACAATCTCTGCAAAACATGTTTGTTTCCCAGCTTTTTGACGCAAAAAGCAAAACAAACACACAACGGACATGTTCGACCTCGGTCGGATGATCCATCGACCCAGAGTCAGCTGGAAGACGCTGCGAAGCCAATCGCCTCCAAAGACTCCACAGGTGCCGAGGCCGTCTGGCCTCAGTTGATGACAAGCTAATCGGAGCATGTCATGCGGGGTGCGGCGCAGCGGCCAGGAGAGGGGGTTCCAATCAGCTAGTAGTAGCAGTAGTAGCAGCCAACTTGGCTGTAACACTGGCTGTAACGTCAATGGACAGACTCCCTGGCCCAATACAGTATTTTGGGCGGTTACTGGTTAGCAAGTCCTCGGTCTTTCCTTTTTGAGCCATATCGAACTGGCACTCTTTTCATCCACTGGACCACTCAGCATGGGGTTTTGTGTCATTCCTCTCCTGCGGACCGGATTCACGCCTAGAAAAAAAGCACATCATGGGCCACAAGTAGCGAGTCATGCAGAGGAACCAGTTCAGGGTATGACTGTCATGCTCCTTTTTCACTCACTCACTCCTTCATCTTCGCCTCACGGACCAACAAAGAACACGCCTCACGGACCCCACATCGATCGACTCGCTCGGGACCGAGTCGAGACGCAGCGGCTGAAGAGTCGCCAGTGTTCCTCCAAGCGCTGAGCCTCGCCGCTCACGCACCTGCGTGGCGAAAGCACGCAGCCAGCGGAGCCGAGGGAAAACGTTAAAAAGACCAGAAACACGCGAAAAGGAGCATGGAAAGTCTGGTGAGAAAAATAAAGACGCCACAAGACTGTAAAAGGGACGCCACAAAGTGCCTGGAGTTGCTTCGACAATCATACTAACACTCATTTCTGAACTAAGTGATATTATGAGTTGAATGGGCATTGCACCATGGAACCTCCCCACCAAAAAGGCCGGAAACCATTGCTGTTTCACCCACGCAAGTGCTGTGGAGTGAGTCAGGTGCGGCAACACCACGGTTTCGTCTAGGTGGCACCGTCGGCATGTCTTGCATTCTCCTTGGCTCATGGCCTTCTTCATGTTCTCTTCTATTTGAGGCTCCCAGAACTGCTGAAGGTTGCGACTGGATTGTGTCAGATGTCAATCGCAATGTTGATTGAGCCAACCTACCAAGACCGTTCGAACTGTTGCCGATGTGGACGTTGAGCATTGTTGAGCCAACCTACGCCCCAAAAGGCCAGACGCCAAACCTGACGCTCCACGCACACCTCCACGCACGGGCACCATGCCGCCGTGCCAGGCGCCATGCGACCATGGGAGGCGGTCCGGTCTGTCCTTGATGGAAAGTCTCAGGAAATCTAAGACTCTTACAATTCCAACAAACATCTATTCATATTCCCACTTGATTAAAAAAGTTCCTCCCTTCAGAACTTGGTTACCTGTTCCTCCCTTCAGAACTTGGTCACCGACCGCAACTCCTGAGGTGCTTTTTTGGGCCGAGCACCTTGGGACCTGACCGCGGCCTCGTATCCTCTTCCGGCATCGCGGCAGCCGGCCACCAGGTCTTACCCAAACAGGCCGGTGGCGTGAAAAAAGACTTGGGGTGTCTGATATCAAGACAAATCCCTGTCCGGCGAACCGTAGGTGTCCGAGTCTGGTGCAGCTGATTCACCCACTCTGAGTCAGGTCGGGTCGTCGGAGCACGGGTAGCGGCTCCAACTCTCCCGAAAACTGAGGGCATTCCTGTTTTTGAGCGGTTCTGACATGGGTTCTGACCGACCTTAATCGTAATGCAAACACATAACGATACGTTAATTCCAAGTAAAAAGATGAAAACAAATAGAAAAAACGTTGACAACGAGATGAAGCGAACCGAGAGCCAGCAAACAGATCCTTTTTTGACGTGTACATCATATTCATAAATTCAGCTGGTCAAAGGTCCTGGTGCCTCACTTTGGACTGTCTCGCTCACGCTGAGCTCACGCAGAGCCTGTAAAGGAGCCTGGATTCACACAGAGCCTCGATTTCGCTGCGGACGTGTTGCATATCAAATAAAAAGCGAGTGGAGCTCTGCTTGGGATGAACAACTCCATGATCATCCATGTATTCCAAAAACCTCAACACCTCCAACCTGCCATGGCTCTGGGGGCTCAAGACCTGTTTCCCAAAGTTTGAAGAATTTGCTCATGCCGTCCTGATCTCCAACTAGAACCAAGAGCTTCCACAGGGTCACACACCAAATAAATCGCAGAAACATTGAACATGTCCGTTGTGCGGCCGCCGATCGCGTCACACAAACTTGATATGACCCCACCACACAAACACGTCCTGGTCGAGCTCGTAATATCGACGTCCACTGGTTGATCGGTTTGTGTCCCATCCTCCGGTCCCATGGGCTTTTAATTGTGCAGCTTATTTGTGCAACTTGGCCAACCTGGAAATAACAAGATTTGGTAGGACTTTACTTGTGCAACATCGAGGTGATCTTACTCTTCAAATCTCTTCAAATCACCGGCATCTCTCATCCTCCTGAGAACATCTCGTGTCAGGGGACCGAGGAGACTCAGGGGACATGAGGGGCTCACTTGGATCCATCCTGCTGGGACTGTGCTGCACCTAAAACTAAGAGCCCTAAATCAGGACCTCGAACCTTGCGTAGGTAGTGGGGTGTTTTGGGGGAGCACCTGTCGAATTTTCGGTCCCGTATATATCTGTTTAAGAGTCCCAATGGCGCAATCGCTCGCTTTTTTGATTGCTTATGATCCCCAACCCTAAACCCTAAACCCATTGATCCCCTGTCTTGCTTTGTAGCTTCCAACAACCTCCCGGAAGGCCGCTGCCCCCATGAAGGTCTAGGCTCCACATGGCACGGTCTGGCTGCGCCGAGGCACGAGGGATTGGCCCAGAAGCAGTGATCACACAAGTTCCCCGTGGGCCGCCGCGAGCTGGCTCTGGTGCGGAAGAGGAAGGAATTGTGATCATCTGAGCTGCGAGCTGCGAGCTGTGAGTTGCGCGTGCGCAGTCCATGCGGTGGCTCCGTGTATCTTGAGATCTCCTTTGCATGTTTCTGTTACGTAAGGTTACGGCAGCTTTCTTTTGTGGGTCGACATGATCCATGCTCAACCTCAGAAGGGCTTAGGAGATGTGGGTCCTTACGTGTTTTTATCTTGAGTGTTGTGAAACAAATTGTTGCCAGCAAACCAATGAGTTCAACATAACACTTCAGCAGCTATCTCTTGCGAGAGAGTTCGTAGGTGGAACTTGGTAGACTTTAGACTGGCGTCCAACATGGCCGGTTTGGTCCGCCATGAACTTTCACGTTCGCACCGCAGGCATAACCGATTGCTGAGATAAGAGCCGGCTCGTTCCGGAACCCTCAGGAGCTGGGAAAGGTCATGGGTATCGAAAGGAGTTCACCATACAAACAAGTTCGCTGGCACAAACTACAGCTCCAATCTAAACGCCACATGGCCGTCTCTAAAACCGCAAAGGCATGCAATTGGCCAACTTGAGTCTCTAGACTCTAGGGTTCATCGGGTTCATCAAGTTGCCTTCCCCAATAAGGGCTCACAGTCGTACACTTCCTCGCTTTTGGGCAGAACACCGCACAAAACGAGCCGGCTGCAACCCAAGGTTCAGGCAACAAGGTGAAGAACACCAGAACATGTTTCAGTGGATGCCAAGTCATGATCCAACATGGACCATGTCGTCCATGTTGCCTTCTAAAAATAACATGAACCCGACATGTTCAGATCCAAGTCTCCACCCAGCAGCCGTGAGATGGTCCACCAGTCAATGCCTCGCCGCCGACTTCCGACGTCGAAACGAACGAGGCGACCGAGCGACCGAGCTCGATCTGTTCGGTTCGACCCGACCGAGCCGACCCGACCGGTAAGCGATCCTGAAACGAAGGCAAGACATATGGCGCCGCTACACATGTTCGAAACAGGATACCTAAAATCACATGTTCGAGAAACTGAGAAAACAAGAATTTCCAGCGCGGAAACCAGGTGAACCTTCGGGATAGGTGAGCAAAAGCACGTGACTCTTGGAGTTCCGTCAAACCCCTCGGAAAAGATGTGAAACCCTGAGTCTGGCAGAGCAGTTGGATCTCTCCTCTCCCTTCTTCCAGGAAACATTACTACCAGAAGACCGATGTTAGAAAGCGGGAGGGTGCTTGTGCTGGACCGCGCACAGTGATCGATGGCTTTCGATGGCCCCAGCATTTCATGAAGACCTTTTGCCCGCTACAACAAAGCTCATGTCTTGAGTGCGCTGGGGAAGGTGCGCTGGATGTTTTTCCGCATGTTTCTCTGACATTGGCTGCGCAGAAGCAGTACCTAGCCCAGAGCAATGCACACACTTAAAACAAATGAGCCATATGAAGAAACAAAAGTAGTTTTGCGGAAACAAGTGTTCGAGGCTGGAGCACCGTTCTCCCCTCATTCAGCTGTAACCAGTCTTTAAAACATGTGCGGTTTCAAACACAAGGCGACTTCAGTGTCTTCTGCTATTCAATCTACCAAATTCCCAACTAGAGGATCTTATAATTACAGGGGGCGGCATACACAAAATCACCATCACCGAACCTAGCGGGTGTTCATCCACCTGGTTCGGTGCTCCTTCAGACCCCTGCAGCTGCATCCACCTGACTGCAGCTGGGCGTCTGTAGAGTTCCGGAGCTTTGGCCACGGCCAAACGGCAGGTACTACGCTTGATCCAGGAGAACTGGCCTGCTGATCCAGACCTGGCAAGGTCGGGTCCGGTCGTCAGGTCAGGTCCAGAAGGGAGAAGTCCCAACCAACATGACAGGACCATTAGTGGAACCCTGGGTTTTTGGGGGTTTCTAGGCTTTTCGAGCTATAGGCTATAGGTATTATTGTTTTCATTTGTTGTCTTTTTTTCATTTTTCCGGCCTCCAGCTCCAACAATTAAGGTGCTCTCACTGGTTGATTGAGGAGGGTTCATGCCCCATACGGTAGGCATTTTTAAAGCTACATGATACTATTTGCTTTTTGGTGTGTCTTTTTCCAAACAATGGTCCAAACCATGGTGTTGTTTGTCTTCTTCAAAGGAACCGGCTGTTGGTTCCGCAGCCAAGGGACAGGCTCAGGAATCCCTCAGTGACCTAAAAAAACACATGTTCCTGTGAGAGACCGAATGGGGAAACGACCTCCAACCTGGTATCCAACATATGAAGGAAACGATTCAATGTGTTGATTCGCAAAAAGTTGGGAAAAAGTTAGACTTTTACTGTTACTTCTAGTGACTGGATGTGACTAGCTAGACAAATTCGCCACCAGTGACAAGCGTGCCCAAAACAACCAGGAGCTGGCTCCCAGTCTTTGGACTTCTGCAGGTGGACCTTTTGGACCAGTGATCAATTTGAGTGGCTTGCCTTGATCTATACGAATGGACCTCTGCAAAGCAGGCTGTCGGAGTCAGAGCTGATCCCCACCCCTCGTTCCCTCTGCATGTCCCTCTTTATGATGGTAAGGGAGTTCAGTTTATGGTGGAGTGCTTTTTATTGTCATCTACCGTCACCAACACCTGCTCCAAGGACAAGAGGCGTGTCAAACTCAACCATGGTCAAGGATGCCACCACATTGTCCTGGAACAATCTCACCTGAGCACGATGGACCTGGCTCTGAGCGAAATGATGAATGTGGTCCATCGCCATGATCCAATTTGGTGGGAGTAAGTGGCACATAGACACACTGCTTAGGCTCCTGATGGACTCCTGAAGAAACTCCAAATTTGAATCTATAAAAGTTGTTATTATTATTGTCTCTCTCTCTCTCTCTCTCTCTCCCCATGAATACAACATAATACAACATTGCCCTGTAAACACCCAAACCAACACCATCCTGCCAATGCATCCTGCATCCGCCACGTCCACATCCTAGTTCTCTCCCTCAACCCAAGTGGCCGCATCCAAGCAAAGGCCGTCGCTGGTGAAGCTCAAGGGGAACATGATGCTGGCGGGGGGGTCCTTGGACGTGCAGGGCAAAAAGGTGGCGGAATGGCCCCGAAATCCAAATGGATTCTTGTCGAGAGGAACGGCCTGTGTGGGCGGAGTCAGATGGTTCAAGAATGGATAGCCAATCAAGTGCATCCTCGAAGGCTTCTCACGTCTCAACCTTTGAAAAGTCTCTGATTAACTCAGAAATCTCTTGGGTCTCCACCTGGGATCTATCCACACTCCTGGCCCAAATACTATTTACAATTGCTTGAGATGCCTCCACAAAAGGGGCCAGAGATCCGTATCTCTGGGTATGCTTTCGAGCGTACACCTGACACTTGGACCACTCCCTTGCAGTTGAGACCGCTCATTTCTTGCGGCGCATCGAATCTGTCAATGCTTCTTCAAGAACGAGTAAATTCTGCTGCTCTTGTGTTCAGTGATTCACCATGCCTTCCTGCAACCCAGCAAATATACGTGACATGTGCTTTTCATGAAAGAAGCACCTCACAAGCCCTCACACCAAACCACAACAAGTATTCCAGCGACCTCAAATCATGAGTATTGGCATGACTTCTCATAGGCTGTAGCGAGGCGGAGTTCTCCAATGACCCCTTGCCAAAAAACGAACAGTAACGACACAGCCAAGTACGTACACGTGACACAAATTCTAAGGCTTTAAAGGATAGAAAGGTACTAACTCCAAGGCTTTCACATTGATATGCTTACATAATTGTCATTATAATACCTGAAATAATCGAAGTGAAGTTCACCTGTTTTATCTGGAAAGCAGTTCTCCGAACTCGGTGCCACTCTCCATCCACGCTGGCCCAGCTTATTTCTGGGATGTGTACTCCCATCGTCCTTTTTCAAAAAAAGAAAGAGAGGGTCTCAAACAAAACTTAGGAATCTTTCTGCGTTCTCAGGATCTCTGCAGAGATAGGTGACATCTTCCACCATGTTAAAGTACTGAGCCTCCCACCTTGGATGCAGCGCTTTCCAGGTCATGGGTGTCATGGGGGTCAGGTAGGTGTATATCAACAACGAAACTATCACAGGACCGTTCTGTCTTGAGCCTTGGGAGTTGAGAAAACCCTCAGGAAAAACCAACTTCGACTCGACTTGACACTCTGATGAACACATCACATGGTTTGCGTGGATGGCATGGCTTGTGGGAAAACGCCTTTCCCTTCCGAACCCCTGGTGCCATCCTGATAAAACCATGTGATGTGTGAGGATCGGAGGATTGACTGAAGGTTCCTGGTGTTCGTTTCATCCAGGCAACTTTTGACTGATTCCTTCCAGCACCTGTCCCTCTGGACAGCTCACACGTCTTCTCTCCGGCTCCATGTGCTGCGTCGCGGGGAACTGTGTCACGCGAACGTCCGGCCGGAAGAAGCCTTGTTGCGTCACGAGCCGGTGGCATTGGCCGGTGAGGCCTCGTTAGTTCAATTTTGCAACTAGAAACCCGGCAATGGCCGGAAGAACTTACGAGTAGAACCCGGGCAAATGGCCTGAATGTCCACATAGAATCCCTTGTTAAATTCTCTTCTCTGTACTTGTACCTGGCAATGGCCCGTCATTGATCCTCACTGTTTGATTTGAACAAAGAGTTCCCCTTTGGTGGAAGCTTCACCTTCCACTGACCTCAAGCGGGCCATCCATATTTGTTGCCGGGGAGGTGCTCTTTTAATCATCAGAAATGGCCCATCCAGGGAACAACTCAGTCATATCTAACGACTGGGGTACAAGCAAAAACACGTTTCTGAACGAGGACATCTATACCGGGCTACGCCCCCCTGTCTGTAAAATAGTCTTTCAAGGGCCTATTTTAACACTCATGCCAGCAAACGAGTCTGGCGATAGGCGGGCTTTCCGCGCCACCCATCAGGGGAACCTGATTCCAAGGGCCTATTTTCCACTTCCACTTCGTAACTCTTTGAGGGAGTGTCACCAGCAATTCCACCACCAAACCGACCAAGTCACTCGGGCCCGGGCCCGCTACGAGTTGCCAGAGGCTTAAGGCTCAGAGTTGCCAAAAAAGAAAGAGTTGCATCCCTTGATTACAAGTGTCATCATAGAGTTGGTGTTTGACGTGCAAACGTGGACTTCTTCCTTTGTCCTCTCTTCCACGCTTCTCCCACACTCTGCTACCCCTTATTTCCGCTTGCAGCACTTGTCTGAGAACATGTAACGATACGTAAAATGCGATCTATTTAACTGACTAAATTGGACACTAAACGGTGTAAAACTAAAACTGCATCCGTTGCCACTCTTGGAACATCCGAGGCACACGAGTCGGTGGTGGAAGAAGCTGTGGCGCGTAAAGGCTTGGCATAGGTGTTGTTCTCCGCCAAGAGGGGCATCCAAACGCAAGTCACCAGGTATTCGAACTGGAACTCTGGCGTCCTTTTGAGGAGACCTGGGAAGGAAAGATGGAAAAACACCAATCCTATGAAAGGCGGTTTTTGGTCACAACCCACAGGGCTGAATGGCGGCCATTCGTTGAAGGGCATGCGCATCTTGTTGGCATGTGACTTGGTGAGAATTAAGTAAGGGCTTGAGCCTAACAGCCATAAGTCCATAAGATTAAAAGATGGACAAATTCAAAAGTTGCAGATTTTTATCCGGGTCCTTCTCTTCCTCTTTCGAGACAAGCGACTGGAAAATGACACAAGTTTCTTAGAAGGCAATACCAAGCAAGAATTTCATGCCCAAACCATCCATTGTATATCATATGAATTTGAATGTATATATATATTGCGAACGGATGGAAAGGTGTGCCCTGGCCCCGTTCTAGCCCTTAGTTCAACATGAAGCTCGCGCGCTAAAGCTCCCTTTTACCTGGTTGGGCACTTGAGCCAAAAGTATATGGCATGTACCTGTATAGCAACTATACTGGGACCTCATCCCTATTGACACCCCCCACATCCGTGCTTCGACGGGGAAGGGAGATGAGTGGATGTAAAAACCGGAGAACGAATCATGTTCTCAAAAGTGCATTGGAGGTCAACCAGTATGTCCTATAAAACTGAATTAGCAAACGATCTTGCATTCGCTTGAAAGTTGGATCAAACAGGTAATGGAGCTACAAACGGAAAACGTGCATCTACCTGTGGTATCATGCGATTACCAACGGTGTGAAACACAATCCTATCTCACTCCCATGATGCCAAAACGGTCATCATGAATTACCCAAGACCCCTCAGTACATGAAGTACCGGAATTGGCGTGTCGGTACGACCCCAATGCTCAACCATTCGTGAGTTGTCGCATGTAGTCAGCGCCGACAAAGCCAATGTAGTCCTTGATGAGCTCCACGTTCCTTGGGTTTCCCCTTCGGATCTGCTCCTCAAAGAGTTTCAATTTCTGTGCTTGGATATCGGATACCTCTATGCCATAGTAGCGGCATGCAACGAGGATCTCCTTTGTGACATTCTTCCGCTCCGATTTGATGGCGGGGCTAATGTCGATGAATTTGTATGGAGCGGCACCTTCGTCATCTGGTTTCTGGTAGTAACTATATCGGCTCGCTCCAAAGGTCTTCCTGATCAAGCGTCTGATGAAATTTGAGATGAATGCCAGTTTCTCGATGATCTCTTCCTGGGTCTCAGATCTTCGAGCCTTTGGATCACTCATGTTACGCCGAGTGCTGCCGACCTCTTTGAGGTACTTGTGGCTAAGCCCGCAGCGGATTGCAGCGATCATCATCGGGTGAATAACGTGGGCGTGGAATTCATAGATCTGCCACGCTTCTGTTGCATACGTGTCGTTGGTCCATTTGCTCATGCCTACGACCTCGGCTCTCTGAAGGCGTCTTGGAAACCCAGTATCCGGATCATTCGGTACTATTGGCCATCTATTGTATGGAGTGTCATGCCGCTGTCCATCGTCGAACTTTCGCAGTACGTCTTCACGACTCTCAAAGCAATTGATGTCGAACGTTGCGTTGGCCAAGCTCTTGATCAACTTCATCAACCTCAGATCAAACTGCTGTGTGACTGCAAAGTTGTGGTCGATGGGGATCGCAGCTTCTTGCGGCAATTCGTCAATTGCGAAGGGGAAAGGCTGTGGAAGTTCATTCCCGTATCCATCTTGAGGGACCTCCCGATATTCGGGTTCGCCTTCAGCTTCGTCCGGTCGTTCCTTCAAAATGATAGGAACTTCCTCGTCTTCCTCTCCTTCGGATTCCTCGACGTCAATGACTTCTTCGGCTGTCTTGCGTGCATTCTTGATGACTTCATCGATGTTTGCACCTGCAGCAGAAGTTGCTTCACCGGAAGAACTGGCTGGTACATCTCTCGGAGGTGATCGTTGATTGCGGTCCCTTGTCTCCTTGGGTACCACATGCGTGAGCTTCCCATTCGCGATCAAAACCGCTACGCAGTGCGGACATATCGTCAATCGCACATCGACTTCGCCAAGACAGTTAGGACACGGTCTTGAGTCGTAGTCTTTCATTGCTCGGCGGTATACGATCTCCTCAAAGATTTCCTGCCACTCAGTGCTATCATATTCTGGGTAGATACCACTCTCCTCGATCATGCCCAACAGCTTTGAGATTTTGGCGTCGTCCTCGGAGTAGGTATCGTCCTGGACCTCAACCGCTAAACTCTCAAGCTTTTGATAGCGTGGAGTCATGATCGGGTTTCCGTATTTGGACTCCAGAACAAGGTAGCTCCCAGGGTCGGGTTCTCTATTGAGTAACCTGATCCATTCGATCTCCTCAGGCTGTCCGGGTTCTGCATTGTCGCATTGCAACCATGCCCCTTTAACCTCATCGAAGGGAACGACGTCCTCAACCGATAGAGATCCAGTCGCTGAGATGAGAAGCCCGTACTCCTGCAGCTTCCACACCGGAATGTAGAGAACCACTGGGCGATCACTCAATGCGACCTTACGACCCAGCCAAGGTTTTCCCTTGTAGCCCTGCTCCCAGGCCCATGGCGGAAAACATGTGAAGTGGATAGAATCCCTTCCCGATGAACCGAGACCTCCTGGCACTAGCCCCCGTCGCATGATTGAAGTCAGCGCTCCAAGATTGGTAGCGTGAAATGCAGTCACCATGGATAGGGCCATGTCGTTGGTCATTCTCGATCCAATGTGGTCGATGTTGATGGTAACGTCATAACCTCCGCCGTCCGATGAGTGTGCTGAGGTTGCTCTTACGGCCACGGGAAAGCACCATCCATCGCTATGGTGGAGTCTTCCTTTGGAGATTCCCATGCCCTTGAGTTCGTCAATCCATTCCTTCTCCATCGGGTCATCAGGATCATTGAGTTCATCAGGGTGAACGCGGACCGCCAACATTTGGAATCTGATCCTCTTGGTTATGCGGAAACACTCATAGTTCTGGTCGAGGTACTTTTCCAAACGCGCCTTCTTGGTCACGATGTCTATATTGCCATAGTGATAACCGTCTTCCCAAACTGCGTTATCACCTAACAGGTCTTCCCATGACACCCATGCGCCTTCGTCGCATTTGATTGGTGTGAGTCTTCCTCCTGTCCTGAACTGGCGTCCAATTCGATGCCTCAACTTCGCTCCCAATCGACGACTCAGGGCCTGGCTCGCTTGGCTGTATTCTGGTACTCGACAGTCTGGAGTCGGATACTTGTGGTTGCCGTAGTCGGAGTTCTGTGCAGCGAAAGTGACTCCGTTGATCGGTACTAGCTCAACTTTCCCGACCATTGTCATGGGGTCGATCGGCTTGTATCCCTTCTCCCTCCGTGTCGGTAGGGGATAGAATTGATGACATGCCTTTGGTTTGAGGGAACTGGAGTGCACAAATGCCTTCTCTACAAATTCGTACACCACCCTCATATCCCTAGGGCCTACTTCCGCAAGCTTCCGCCCATTGTAGGAATGTGTCCCTCCTTCGACTCCATCGGCACTTTCAATCAAGGTGAACCCGTCATGGTCAAACATTGTCACGACTCTTGCTTTCAACATTTCTTTTCGCCTGAACTCGCTATCGACCTTCCTATCTGGAGTAGGCGATGCTCTCTGCTTCTTCTTCTTAGGCTCCTCGGCTGGATGTCCGGATGGTACATCGTCGGGTGCAACCTCTCCCTTCACTCTCTTTTTCCAATCACTCAGCACTGAGGTGACTGTGGGTGAAGATGAAGGGATCTTCTCGCAATTGAGAGTTGTGTGTCCCGACTTCATGCAGTGGATGCAGAATTCTGCTTGCCCGATCTTCTTCTCGAATTCGTCGATGGCTTGCAGTATTGATGTCTTCGGATCGGACATGTCAACGTCTTGCTCCTCCTTCTCCTGTTCACATTCAGTTTCCATATCGACACCTTCGGCCTCGGGCTGGTCAGTAGCCTCTGCTCCCTGTTCTGGTTCTTTCCCAATTTCGAAGAAGTGGTCGATATCGAATTCAGGAGGCGGCATGGTCCTCATGCGAACGAGAATCAGTGCCACGTTTGCCGCCTCATCAGAGTGCGGGTCCAATGTTCTGATCATCGATCGCTTTCGATTCTCATATGTTGTCCTGTCGTACAGCGATGCGGTGACGCGCTTGATGGATTCTTCTAATCCCGTCCTCAAAGCCTCGATGTCACCCCATCCCAAGAACAGGTGTCTGAAGAGTTGAGCAATTTCCAACATGCCCAGCAGCGCTTCCACCATATCACCTACCCGTTCCTCCGTGGGATCATCTCCGAACATAGTGCGGAATACATCGGGCTCCAATATGGTCTTGAGGTATTTGGTGTAGCACACGTTTCCAAGGTCATAGGATCCCTGGTAGTACTTGGCGCTGCCGACTATCTGCTTTTCCACATGGATGCTGGGTCCTCTCCTCGTTTTGAAGAAGTTCTCCGTCATTGTTGATGACAACCTGATCCCCCCCGAAGAACGAGATCTCCTTCTGGAAACCTGGGTTCCCGTTAAAGATGATCATCGCTTCGTGTAAGAACTTCATCAAGTCTACGTGCGGGTTCATCTCGGAGATCATGACGGTGGGAGAAGATACCGTTTGCCCCATGCCGAAGTTGTGAAGCAATCGAGCACATGCATGAAATCGCTTCTGGACGTAGTCTTCTGCGGACATCCCACGGCATCTATTTGCTGCTCCGTTGATGCATTCTGCATAGCAATCGTCTTTCAAATCGGAGTCTATGGGATTGCAGACCAAACAGTAATCGCAGCAAATCTCCTCACCCTCCTTGAAGTCATCAATGACGTACCACCTTTGAGTCCTCGAGTATATTGGTTCTGGCTGAAGGACTCCCCAGTACTCATCCATCCATGGCATTTTGTTCTCTCTCCTTACCTTCTCCCTCTTCCTCCGCTCAGACTCGTTCTCACCTGAAGCTCCCGCAGTGGACTGATATGCATGGCTTCCTCTTACGGAGTCTCCGAACAAGTACTGATACAACCTCTCTTTGTCCTGCAACACGTGTTCCAAGTTGG